TTGAGTAATATTGTATGTCAACTATAATTGTATATATAATTATATACAAGAACAATATATATGTATATATATATACATACATATATACGTACATATATATATATATATATATATATATATATATATATATATATAGTCACGGGACGTGGAATAGAATGTGGGAATGGAGTCAATGGAATTGTAATAGATAAATATGATAACAGGGGTAGGAAGGCAGTAGATGGGGGAGGGGGGTTGTTTCTGTGTGAAAGGTGAAAAGAATAACTATTGCATTGTTCTGTACATCTGAAACTAAAATTTTTTTTTAAAAAAGAGCATGCACTCTAACAAACTGAGACATCTGGCTGCTCACTGCTGCTCTGCTCAAGGTGTTCAATCTTAGTTGTGGGGGGTGGAGAGGTGGGGCACAGCCTACCATCCCATGCAGGAGTTGAACCAGCAACCTTGTTAAGAGCGCGTGCTCTCACCAGCCACCCATTGGCAGCTCAGCGGCAGCTCAGCTCAAGCGCAGCTTACTGGCCCACGTGAGAATTGAATCGGTGACTCTGTTGCTCAGAGCTTGTGCTCCAACCAACTGCGCCACCCGGCCAGCCCCAAATACCATTTATTTTTGTTGTTATTATTAAGCACAATTTGGCAGGAATTCAGAAATTCTGAAGTCATTTAGTCATTCACTGAAATGCCTGGGAAATTCTTCCAGGATGGCAAGAAGTAATACCATTTCCCTGCAAAGATTAAAACACTGATATGACACATAATTGACCCTGGCAGTTTCTATTGTGGAGAAAATGGCTGGTGACGATCAGGATGCACAGGGTCTTTCCTGGACACAGGAACATGAGTGGACAAAGGAGGGAGATGCTGGAGGCCAGGAAACATGGATGACAGGTCTTGTTCTTCAGTAAGCACAGTCTGAGCAACCTGTGCCCAGGCTCTTGGTCTTGTGAGGACACAAAGAAGCCCAAGACCAAAGGCCGTCACTGAGGAGGTTACACCAGAAATAGACAAGTCAAATTTGGACACTGTGGAAATGGGAAAGGAA